TCACTTAGAATAAGTCCAGAGTCTGCACTTAGAAAATATACTTTGATTTTGTGCACATATTGAACTCCCTTGGAAAGAAGTAAATGAACTTTAATTCCGAAGTGTCCCTAGCCTACAGAGAAGAAGACGAACAACTACTGAAACAGGTTGTATGTTTTATAACGATTTTGTGAGCTCTCTCTCTCGATCGCGCCTTGGGTATAAAATAAGTATAGCTATCTCTCGATTTGTATATTATTTGTAGTAGTTCTGTCTCTCGTTCGTCCACATTTTTGTATGAGTTTATTTTCTTGTTTTATTAAATTAATTATTTCTTTTTTAACTAAAATGTCTCTTAATTTTGTGTCCGAATCAGATCTCATACGCGTGTTTGTCCGCGGATCGATAAATTGACAAACTGGTGTCAGCCCTGACGAGCATCTGGACTTCACAGTTCAGATCTACTAGCGATTATCGCTCTCCTATGAAATATTTGAGATCAGATCTAGTGATCTGCATCGTAGAGAACTAGTCTTACCGACTAGCTGCCTAGTAAGTGATACAGGCGTAAAAACCTACCCTGTACCCCCGGCTAGATCTCACAGAATATAACCAAAATTTCACCTAAACTGAATAAAAATAGCAGGAGTAATACAGAATTGATGTACTGTACTGTACATTACATTTGAAACTTTCTGAATGCCTGAACCACTGCACTTTTCTAAAATCTCTCTTCGGCGGCACCATCTACAGGATAAGAACTTTAATTTGATACCTGAGCCGTATTTTTAGCCCCAGCCGTTTATTCAAACTAAATTAGAAAAACTGAAACCATCGCACAATTAACATATATTCTAGTTACAGTAGAGCATCGATTATTCGACCCCCGATTAACCGTCACCTCGGTTAACCGACCGCGTTCTAGTCGGCAAATTCAAATGTTCGCTAGTAATGTGGCGCTACAATATTTGGCTATGTCTTGGCTACTTTAATATTACTTTTGTTAAATTTTTGCGTGTTTTAGCTGGCTACACTACTCGACCATGAAAGGGAGGCCAGTATTTAAACGCGGCTTAATTTTTTAATTATGAATTATTAAATTCATGTTAAGGTTGTGTTAAGATTAATCATATTCGTTTTGTAAACCGCGCTTAAGTTAAGCGTCATCTGTTTATTTTTTATGTCTGGTCATTGAAAGGCCGCTATGGATCGAGTGTCAGTTGTATATACAAAAGGTAAATTGTTTACAAACTGAGTCTTTGTCTATTCTCTGATACATGTACACTTTTATTTCGTCAATAGTTTACGATAGCAGATGTCTTGTGTGTAAGATCCAAGTCGGATGTGCGCAAGCTAATATATGTTCTTGTTAACCGCTTCCTCTCCGATCAATTTTTAATTACATTATAATTAAACATTAAAAATACTTAAAACTGAAAAAACGAAAGAAATGCGTTGTTTTTGAAGAAAAAGCTTTAAACTTTATTTTCCCTTGTCTCGCCTTTCTGCAAAATTTGACACTGATGAGTCATTGTGTTTACAGCTGGATGACCTTGAGAACAGCTGGTGTTGGATTTCCCGAGACATTCTCGTAAAACTTACAGGACGCGAACAGTTTATAGTAGGGTGAATACTAGCTGGCTGTATATTTTTAAATATTTTCAATGTACAGTACAGTACTGTATTTATTTTGTGCAAAATAAAGAAATNTCTTTTATTTATTTGCTACCTAAGTAGGTGCGTTTTTTTTTTATTTTTAATTTTAAATTGGAAATTGACTTTTCTAAAGTATGTTCGCGATTAGATAAATTGGAACAGCAACATCAGTTACCTTTGGACAACATTGGTGAGTTTTTTTTTTATTTTTAATTTTAAATTGGAAATTGACTTTTCTAAAGTATGTTCGCGATTAGATAAATTGGAACAGCAACATCAGTTACCTTTGGATGACATTGATGAGTTATACTCCTTTGCCTACGATAGACAAGTTAATGCTTCAAACAGAAGCAATTTAATGTTGTTTAATCATAGTATTCCGCTCGAGTTGGATTTGCGGGATTATATTGTTAACTTATTTTCTAAGGAATTGGATGTGACTGATCTGTCGGGGCATAATATTGTCGGTGTTTCCCGTTTGAGAGGTAAAGCTCGGGAATTCTATAGCATCCAGTTGTCGTCCTGGAAATGTCAAAATTATTTATTGCAAAAATTTCGGACGAAAACTCAACAAGAGGGCAGGGAAAGACCGATTAAATTTTGGCACCGGATCTGTCGTTTAATTCCCGTGTTCACCGTAAAAACCTGGTTTCTTTTTTAAAAGAATACCGGGAAGCTGGTCGTCATATTTTTTTGCGAGATGACGTATTATATGTAGATGACAAGAGATTCACGTATTCTATTTCGGGCCATCACTTAATAGAGGTGCCTGTTTCTTTTTTATTTTGAATTTTCCTCCCCGCAGGAGAGTCGGTTTGGAGAGACTTTCAACTTCATCGTGCCCGGACCAGTTTAGTTTGAGTAGTTATTCGGAATCGTTGTTTTTTTTTTGGAATTGTTGTGGATTTAGCACTTAAGTGTTCTCTGTTGGATTATATGATTAAACAACCAGGTTTAATTTGTTTAGCCCTTGTTGAAACCTGGATGGTTTCAGTGGATGGAGATTTTCTTGCTAACTTTCTTCCAGTGAACTGGAGGTATTTTATGATTCCAGCGGAAAAGCCACTGGGGCCGGGTAGACCCCATGGTGGTATTTTGTTCTTTTTTGATGAAGTTAGAGAACGTTTCAAGTTATTGGAAATTTATCCTGATTTGATGGTGATTGGCTTATCACTTTACTCGGTTCTCGAACCTAGAAATATCCTGGTGCTGGTGGTATATGCTGGCTCGCAGAGATAGAAGGGTTTACGTTTAGACTTGTTTTCCTCTATTTTGAACTCTTGGTCTTCGTACTATCATGGAATTGTGATAATGGGCGATTTTAACGTCCATATCGGTGAAGAAATTGATTCACATTTGAATTTAGCCTCTACCAACATTTTTGATGTCAGACGGTCAAAGGATTTAAAGGCCGACACGGCCGGGAGACAGTTTCTGCATTGGTTGATTGAACACGATTTTATTCTCTTTAGTGGTCGTACTAAGGGAGATTTCCCAGGTGAGCTAACTTTTTTGTCAAAAGTGGGTAGCTCGGTTATAGACTTTATTGTCGTTTCTCAGAATCTGGTTCATAAGGTTGAATCCCTTCGTGTTGGGTCTCTCTCATCTTCGGACCCTTTTGCAGTGGAATTACCGTATCGCTGAGTTTCCGAAATATAAACTTTGATTCTGTGTCTGTTGATGATTTCTATGGTATTATTTTATCCAAGCTATGCTCTATCGCAAGAAGACTAAATGTGTTAATTGAAGGTATTGAACCTTACAGGAGGATTCGTCCCCCTTGGTTTGATGGGTCATGTTATATTCAGAAGCGAGCGAGGAACATTGCCTTGGGCAAATTTCGCAGATCTAATAGTCAGACCGATTTGGCTTCCTTTTTAAATTTAAAACGACAATATAATTCACTTATTAGGGCCAAAGAGAGAGGAAATATTTATGTAATTATGCTTTACAGATGGCTGGGATTAGAGACTCTNTTCCGCTCGAGTTGGATTTGCGGGATTATATTGTTAACTTATTTTCTAAGGAATTGGATGTGACCGATCTGTCGGGGCATAATATTGTCGGTGTTTCCCGTTTGAGAGGTAAAGCTCGGGAATTCTATAGCATCCAGTTGTCGTCCTGGAAATGTCAAAATTATTTATTGCAAAAATTTCGGACGAAAACTCAACAAGAGGGCAGGGAAAGACCGATTAAATTTTGGCACCGGATCTGTCGTTTAATTCCCGTGTTCACCGTAAAAACCTGGTTTCTTTTTTAAAAGAATACCGGGAAGCTGGTCGTCATATTTTTTTGCGAGATGACGTATTATATGTAGATGACAAGAGATTCACGTATTCTATTTCGGGCCATCACTTAATAGAGGTGCCTGTTTCTTTTTTATTTTGAATTTTCCTCCCCGCAGGAGAGTCGGTTTGGAGAGACTTTCAACTTCATCGTGCCCGGACCAGTTTAGTTTGAGTAGTTATTCGGAAACGTTGTTTTTTTTTGGAATTGTTGTGGATTTAGCACTTAAGTGTTCTCTGTTGGATTATATGATTAAACAACCAGGTTTAATTTGTTTAGCCCTTGTTGAAACCTGGATGGTTTCAGTGGATGGAGATTTTCTTGCTAACTTTCTTCCAGTGAACTGGAGGTATTTTATGATTCCAGCGGAAAAGCCACTGGGGCCGGGTAGACCCCATGGTGGTATTTTGTTCTTTTTTGATGAAGTTAGAGGACGTTTCAAGTTATTGGAAATTTATCCTGATTTGATGGTGATTGGCTTATCACTTTACTCGGTTCTCGAACCTAGAAATATCCTGGTGCTGGTGGTATATGCTGGCTCGCAGAGATAGAAGGGTTTACGTTTAGACTTGTTTTCCTCTATTTTGAACTCTTGGTCTTCGTACTACCATGGAATTGTGATAATGGGCGATTTTAACGTCCATATCGGTGAAGAAATTGATTCACATTTGAATTTAGCCTCTACCAACATTTTTGATGTCAGACGGTCAAAGGATTTAAAGGCCGACACGGCCGGGAGACAGTTTCTGCATTGGTTGATTGAACACGATTTTATTCTCTTTAGTGGTCGTACTAAGGGAGATTTCCCAGGTGAGCTAACTTTTTTGTCAAAAGTGGGTAGCTCGGTTATAGACTTTATTGTCGTTTCTCAGAATCTGGTTCATAAGGTTGAATCCCTTCGTGTTGGGTCTCTCTCATCTTCGGACCCTTTTGCAGTGGAATTACCGTATCGCTGAGTTTCCGAAATATAAACTTTGATTCTGTGTCTGTTGATGATTTCTATGGTATTATTTTATCCAAGCTATGCTCTATCGCAAGAAGACTAAATGTGTTAATTGAAGGTATTGAACCTTACAGGAGGATTCGTCCCCCTTGGTTTGATAGGTCATGTTATATTCAGAAGCGAGCGAGGAACATTGCCTTGGGCAAATTCCGCAGATCTAATAGTCAGACCGATTTGGCTTCCTTTTTAAATTTAAAACGACAATATAATTCACTTATTAGGGCCAAAGAGAGAGGAAATATTTATGTAATTATGCTTTACAGATGGCTGGGATTAGAGACTCTAAGACCTTTTGGTATCGGATAGGTCGTTTTCGTCGGGTCAGGAGCATACTAGACCAAGAAATTTCCTTGGCTGACTGGTTTATTTATTATCAACAGTTATTTAGTTTAAATACATCGAATTTACCGTCGATTCTGTCACTACCGATGGCTTCTTTTGCTGTTGATCCTATTTTAGATCTTCCTATCTCTGATACAGAGGTGAATACAGCACTTCAAAAGATGCAAATTTGTTCTGCTCCCGGGGTGGATAATGTTTCACAGTCTTTAATTGTTTACTCTAAGGAAACTTTGGTTCTTTACTTGGCCAAGTTATTTAATTGGGTTTATGACACTGCTAGAATTCCGAATTCGTGGTTAGAGGTTAAGATAAAAGTTATCCATAAAAAAGGTCCACTAGATGAGCCCGCTAACTTTCGACCAATATCGCTGTTGCCTATAGTTCAAAAAATATTTACCTCTATTTTGGCATATAGATTGGGTATTTGGCTAAAAGAGAGGAATTTGATTCAACCAGTGCAATTTGCTTTCCAGCCTCGTAAGAGTACTTTAAGTAATATTTTGATTCTCCACTCCATTATTTGTAGACAACTATCAAAGAAAAGACAAGACTATCAAAGAAAAGACTTGCAGCGTTCATTGACTATGAGAAAGCCTTTGACAGTATTGTTTTGAAGATTTTGTTATTTAAATTAAAAATGCTTGGAATCTCTGACAAGTTTATTGGCATTATTTAACGTTTATTTTCAGGATTTAAAGCAAGGGTTTTCACTAGTGCCGGGTCTACAGGTGCTTTTTCATTAGAAAAGGGTTTACCATAGGGTGATTCCTTAAGTCCGATATTGTTTATTTGTTATGTTAATGACATGGTACAAGTTTTTGATGATTTAAGTAAAGATTCCATTTCTCTAGGAGACTACGAAGTCCATTTACTTCAATTTGCTGACGATACAGTGGTGTTATCCACCACCCCGATTTATCTACAAAGGAAATTGGACAGGTTATAAAATTATTCCTCCAATTTGGGTTTGAGTATTAATTTATCCAAATTGAAAATAATAATTTTTAGACATGGTGGAAGGCTGAGAAAAGCTGATAAGTTTTTCTTAAACGGTAAAGGAGTCAGTATTGTTAATGAAGTTATATATTTGGGAATTTGTCTCTCAGCTATTGGCTCGTTCCATAATTACATTTCTTACGTTAAAGGCAAAGCATTTTCCAAAATAAATGTTATAATAGAAATCTTGAGAAGGGTTAAACAGTCATATGGCTTTGTGTAAAAATCTTGCCGCCTCTCTTTTTACTTCGAGTTGGTCTTATGGTTTGCCCTTTTGGGGGCCTTTTTGTTTTGAGGATATCGACTCTATAGAACTGATGTTCTTTCGTTGTCTGTTTGGTGTTGAGAGGTCGATCCCATCGTATGCAATCAGATCTGAATTGGGCCTTGAGTTTCCCCGGAAACGCTTTGTCAAATTAACCTTAAATTTTCTGAGAAACATAATCTCTGACCCATCATCCTTGGAATTTGAGGCTTATTCTACTTTGAAGAAGTTTTCGTCGAAAAGATCGCTCAAATTCTGTTGGTTTACTAAACTAGAGAATCTATTTAATAGAATAGGTATCTCACTCTCTTTGATAGATTCCTCTCCAGATGTTTTGAAATTTTACGCAGATATAATTTTACAAGAGTTTGATAATCTTTCCTTGAGAGAAGAAGGGGACAGGATTCTTAAGGTTAATTACCGTTTATGGTACCCAGAAATATTAGACAACAATCGGTGTTTTTACATTTATTATCAGCAGCTACCATTTATTGTTAAAAAAACGATAATACAGATTCGTCTAAATAAGTTTCGTTTAACATGGAAACACTTGTGTATTGATCTACGTTCACCGGAAATGTGTCCGTTTTGTAAGAAAGGATATGCGACTTTAAATCACTACATGTTTGACTGTAAGGATTTTGAATATTTGCGTGTATCAATACTTTCTAACCAGGTCCGGATTAACCCACTTTGGGTCCCTGGAGATTTTCTTCTTAACATGCTCCCTCCCTCCCCCACAAGAAATAGAGCGCACAAAAAAATATAAAACAAAACTAAATATTGTGAAAAACTAAAACATATTTTAAATTTTTATTAATAAAAAATATTAAATATATAACAATAAATACACACAAGAATACATTTTCTTTAGATTTTAAAATTCACAATAACCATATAAAAAGCAATATATTTTTGTCTATTTGTTTATTATACACAGACATGTATAACAACATATACATGTTTTTTGTCCAACAGAAAAGTAAACTATCTTATTTACAAATCTTTTCAAAATAGACAATTTGACCGGGCCCTAGACATTTGTCTCATTTGTCTATGCGTTGATCCGACCCTGTTTCTAACAATGTTTTTTGTACTAATAATGTTGTTTGCAAAAATCCAGAAGACAGAATTCATGGATTATTCTCTATCAACGACTCAGTAGAGTCTATATGATATAAATATAATTTATTGACCAAAATTATTAATGTTACCCCTCCTCCTAAAAATTAATTTTATGTATGGAGTTTTTCAATAAATAAATACTGAATATAAATGGGGTTTGCTTGCAAAATCCGCGCGGGCAAAGCCGCGCGGATTTTGTAACAGCTAGTCTATCTATATAAATAAAAATGTAATGTTCGTTTGTTCCTACCGATTCCTTTGAAATTTCCACACAACGCTGCAATCAAATACGCACGTGTTTTTATATAATATACATGTCGAAATTCCCCCCCCCCCGAGGAGAGATGGACAGGATTAAGGCTTACCGTAAAGAACTCTGCTTGTATTTATACTATTTTAGATGCGTATTTTTGCGTTTTTGATTGCGTTTTAATAGGGTACGTCAAGAGAATGTACAATAAGAAGAGATTTTTCGAAAAATTCTCCCTTCTCCACGGGGGATGTGTTATACATTTATAATAGATACATTTTGTGCCACAACAACGCGTGGCAGAGTCTGATAGTAAGTTATAATTACAGAACAATAAGAGAAAGAATTATTTTACAAATTTAATTTTAAGAAAAAAAAGGATTATTATTTTAATTTGTTATTCTTTGTACAATCTTTCTACATGCACGTTAACAAAATTTTTCATACAAATCTTTATGTTGACGGCTTCTGCACAGTTTGCAAACTTTTTTCGTCACTCTGCATATGGTGATGTCCAGTGGACCAGTTCTAAGCAAAAATTGTTACTACTAACAGTTACTTTTCACAAGCATCAATCCTTTTGTATTTTATAACCAATTGATTTAATCAAAGTAATTCTTTGATGTCCTGTATTACTTCTTTTTACATCATAACAGTCAATCAACACTAATTTTTCAAATTATTAATATAAAAGTTAATTTTTCTGTATATAAAATAACTATTACAATGAAATATACTAAGTTGTTATATATGTACTTTTTTAAAACCCTTTCTGCCCTGTAGATACTAAGAGGACCTTTTTAGTAAGCCCATTATGGAATTGGTTTGTCCTTCACCACCCAGCCACCTAGCTGGGTGGTGAAGGACAGGGTCTGACATATCTGGATGGACCATCCCAAAAAATTCCTGGGGTTTTTTAATCTCGAGAATGGTGTTAGATAGATGAAAGTCAAGACTGGATATGAAAGTTTAGGGGTAGGAGGTCCTGATTTGAATCACCAGTCTAGAGTGGAAGTCATGTGAATTTAATTCAAAAATTTTCCCATGAATGGACTTACATACTGGCACGACTGTTGTTATCTGCAAAAGTATGATGCACTGTACAGCAGTGGTTCCCAATTATTTTTTCCTGCGTACCACTTCAAGAAAGAGCTCAAACTCGCGTACCCTTTATAGCAGAAATTCATATTAATCCATACTAATATTACAAATTCGAAGGTAATTCTGTCTGTCTGTCACCTTTTCACGTCTAAACCGCCGAACAGGTTTTAATAAAATTTGACACAGTGATAGAGTACATGTTGGAGATGGACATAGGCTACATTTTACTGCGAGAAAATATCTTATTCCAACGAGAAAATTCGATATAATGCGGGCGAAGCTGTGGGTAGACAGCTAGTGAGAAATAGAATAAGTTTTTTTTACATTTATTACCTTTAAAATACAATTCTAATAATAATGAAAATAACATAAGGTTATTTAATTTTAATGTGACAAATGTGCACGATTATCTTTGCACAACTTTGTAAAATCTGGTTGCTTTTTGGTCAGCTTCAGTCTCGAGTCATCTTCGAGTTGAAGTCG